GGGGGCCAGTCCCACTCTGGTGTGTCCCGCTGCCACCCTGGGGGTCTCCCCAATGTCCCACCCCCAGGGTTGTCCCTCGTCCCAGTCCCCACCTCGGGGGCCACCCCAGGGCGCTGTCCCCATGGCCTGGGCCACCCCGGGGCGCACATGTCCCACCCCAGGGTGTCCCTGTCCCACCCGGGGGCACCCCTGTGTCCCCTGGGGGTGGCCCTGTCCCACCCAGCCTCGTCCCTCCCCACATCCCCCCCCGGCGGTGGCTCCTTGTCCCCATCCCCAAGTGCCACCCCAGGGCTCTGTCCCCATGGCCTGGGCCACCCCAGGGTGTCCCTGTCCCGCCTGGCCTTGTCCTTCCCCGCGTCCCACCCCAAGGGTCTCCCCCTCCTGGTCCCTGTCCCCATCCCAAATGCCCGAGTGCCACCCCAGGGTGCTGTCCCCATGGCCTGGGCCACCCCAGGGTGTCCCTGTTGCACCCGGCGCCACCCCTGTGTCCCCTGGGGGTGGCCCTGTCCCACCTGTGGGCGCGCCCCTCTCACGCACCCTCATCCCTCCCCACATCCCATCCCAGCTGCTGCTCCTTGTCCCTGTCCCCAAGTGCCACCCCAGGGCGCCGTCCCCAGGGGCAGGGCCAGCTCAGGAGGCGTGTCCTGCTGTGTCCTGACGTGTCCCCTTGCTGTCCCCGCGCTGTCCCCGCGCAGTGGCCCTCTTCTCGCTCGTGGGCTTCGTGCAGATGAGCATCTGGGCGCAGGGCAAACACCGCAGCTACCGGCGCGACTTCCGCGACTACCCGCCGCTGCGCTCGCCCATCGTCCCCTTCCTGCTGTGACACCGCGGGGACACCGCGGGGACACGGGGGACACCAGGGACATGGGGACACCACGGGGACACGGGGGACACCAGGGACACGGGGACAGCGTGGGGACGCAGGGGACAGTGCGGAGACACCATGGGGACCAGGTCTCCATCACAGTGCGCACCCAGTGTCCCCCTGCTCCTGGATGGCCTGGGGACACTGTGGGGACCTGGCGCTGTCCATTGTCCCCTTCATGCTCTGAGCCATGGGGACCCCATGGGGACACTCGGGGGACACAGGGACCCATCTCCCCATCCTGTCCCCCTGTCCCCATCCTGCTCGGAGCCCTGGGGACACTATGGGGACAAGGGGACACTGTGGGGACCCAGCACTGCAGACCCGTCATCCCCTGGGGACAAGGGACATGTCCAGGCCCTGCTGTCCCCTGCCACCTGGAGCTGCAGGGACACTGTCACCCCGTGTCACATGGGACCCGGTGGCGGTGTCACCTGCGTGTCTGTCACCGCGCGGGGCTTGTCACCGTCCTCGAGAATGAACCGTGGTGGGGTCTTGTCACCAAGAATAAACCATGTCACCCGTGCATGGCCTGTCACTGTCCCCATGGTCCCCAAGGGGGGCTGGGATGGGGGGGGGGGGTCACAGCCACCCCGGGAGGGGACAAGTCCCCAGTGTCCCCAGGCAGGGACAGGGGGGTGTCGCAATCACTTTGGGAGGGAACAGGCCCCTGTCCCCATTGTCCCCAAGTGGGAATCGGGGGTGTCACAGCCACCCCAGGAGGGGACAAGTCCCCATCCCATGTCCCCAAGGCCAGGCAGTGACACGGGGACACGCTGGCAAGTCTCAAGGTTTATTGGCGCCACCGCCACCGTGTTGCCGTTGCCACCAGGCGTCCCCGTTGCCACCGGACGTCCCTGTTGTCACCGGGTGCCACTTGTTGCGTTGTCACCGGGTGTCACTCGTCACTGGGCGCCACTCGTCGCGTTGTCACCAGGCGTCACTCGGCGGCCGCCCGTCGCTC